CATTCCTTCAGGTCCTGTCACTGGTTGTAGGAGAGAGGAGGTCAGTGCTGCCCCTCCACTTCCCCTCATGAGGAAGTTGTATCCTGCAATACATAATCATCTCAGTGTCCTCTTCTCCAGGTTGAACAGACCAAGTGACCTTAGCCATTCCTCTTAAGGCTTCCCCTCAAGGCTCTTCATCATCTTCATTGTCCTCCTTTAGATGCTCTCTGAGTCAACAGATCCTCCATCCCTGGAGGTTTTCAAGCTGAGACTGGATGTGGCACTTAGTGCCATGGGCTAGTGACCACGGTAGGGTTGGAATTGATGATCTTTGGGGTCTGTTCCAACCTGATTGATTCTATGATCATAACTGCCCACCTATAGGTACTGATTAACAACTAAAAAAAATTGCAAAGTTTGATTCAAAGCTTGATGAACCATGTGAAGTGGTGTTGTTTGGGCCAGAGCCTCCTTCCCAGAGGAGCCATGCTGTGCCCCTGAGGAAGCAATGAGCTGGCAGAACTAATAAAAAGGAAACAATTTGCCTCAGAACTATCTTTTTCTCTTTTTTTATTTCCCCTTCCCTTCTCCTCACTGCCTTTAGACCACCCAGAGATAAAAGAAGCGATTGTCAGAAAGGATGATAAGCTCCTCACCTTGCTAAGAGATGTTTATGTCGAGTCCAGAGATCCACCAGTGCAGGTGAGTATGTCTCTCTGTAGGAGCCATACCTGCATCAGCTTCATGGTTTTCATACTCAGCACAAATTCTGTATCAAGAAAAATGCCTTTGTGCCTAAAAGCTACCTTTTAACAGAGAAAGGTCGGGGGTTTATTACTCTGTGTATCAGCAGCACTGTCTGACCCTAGGTTCTGAACATGGAACACATTATACAAATGCTTGCACAGTCTTCCTTTTTAACATCATGTGGATCTTTGTTTTTCACTTAAATTCCAACTTCTGCTTCCTCTAAGACAGGACAGTTGTCCACTTTTTTGCACAGATGCAGGAGTTTGCCAGAGATCATTTGTGGAGTTGTTAGAAGGGATTGGGACTGCTGTGGGATCAAGGGTGTGGTAGAGGACAAAGACGTTTTAATGGAGTTTTTAACAGCTGATGCTAATGTCACACAGTGCAGAGACTTTTTCTTACCCTTAGGGTTTTTTTCTGCATACTCTTACAGCTCATATGGTTATCATTTTCCTTATTGCCAATGGCTGCAAGCTTTGACTTGGAAGGCAGAGCATGCTCCTCCTAGTGGAATGCAGGCTAGATTGTTCTTTGCATGCTCCTCCTAGTGGAATGCAGGCTGGATGGTTCTTTTTTTTTTTTTCCCACCACGTTATGGCTTGTGCATTTTACCTGTTGCATTCTTGGACCACTTTATTCCAGCTGCTTAATGCAGTAATCACATTTTTATAATCACCTAGCAAAATTCCTAAGTCTCTCCAATTTGCCACTTTCATTGTATTCAAGCCTAAAAATATTTAAAATGCCAACAGATTTCTTCAGTCTCTCCCTGAAGTTTTCAAGTAATCTCTAGTCTTAATTTTCATTATAAAGGTTGGGACTCTAATCTTGAAGTGCTCAAGGTCTAATTTCAGTATCTTTAAATATTCATTTGTAAACCTGTCAAGAGAGAGCTGAGAAGATGCCAGAAGTGGAACAAACCTTTGCTAGATTCTGTGCCTACTCTGACATTGCTGCCACATAAGACTTGCTCTTGTGGTATGTCTACTTGCAGTTGTTGGGAAGAGCATGATTGATGTGTTAGCACAGAGACTTGTGGGCAAAACTTAATCCAAAAGCTTCCTTCCATTCCTGATGTTATCCTGACTGCTTTGTGCATTATGTACATTGTGTATACACATCTCTGTCTGTTGGACATATCTGTGGTGAGTGGAAAAGCACCAACTTGGAGTCCTGAAGTGGCATATTCCCAGAGACAGATCATTTAATTAAGGCTTGAAAAATCATTCATTATCTGAGGGTTTTAACTAAAAGGAAGACATGGAGAACAGATCAGACATGCTCTGTGGTTTGGAAACAGACACACAGATGCTGTAGCATCCTTATTAGTCTTCTCAGCATCCCAGGTAATTCAGACTGTCTGTGTGCTTATCAGTGGCTGTGGACTCTGATTACTATAAACATTATCTTACATTTAAGAAAGATTGAATCTTGCCTTTTTTTCAGTGTCATTGGCTGGTTAAATCTTAATAAAAGGCAATATGAGAAAGCCAGTGCTGGTTTGGAAATTACTTGGAAATATGAAGGGACCTTGGAGAAGGGGCTCTGTGTGTCCTTGCACTGCAGTAGTCGTGGCAGTTAAACTCTGTATGATGCTGCAAAATGGTTTCTTTTTGTCCAGGAAAGCTTGTTCTCTAGACAGAGCAAAATCAGGAGTATCTTTTAGTAGCAAAACTAAAATTTGAAAATGAAAGGAAGAGGGGAGAGACTGTATGACAAAGTTTTCCAGGGATATCAGGAGGATACCAATTTGTTGCATGACTTCTTTTTTTGTCCCTTGCTACAAATCAGTCCAAAATACTAGGTTATCTGCATTTACATTTGGCTGTCAGGGTCTGTAGTTTATCCTGTATGAAGAGCTGCCAAATCTGTACAGCACTTAGAGTTCAAAAGATGGAAACTTGTCAGCATTGGATTGGGAGTTGACATTGTATGTAGAGTGACCGTGGAAGAAATGACAAGTTTTGTGATATCAAGAAGCTGGCCAAGCTTTTCGTGGGTTTTTTTTGTGAAAATGGGGAAAACTAACAGGAAATGCCCTATTTAAGAAAAGAGTTTAGCTGCTTCAATATGTATAGTAAACAGAACTGCTGTTAAGCTCTTTTTTGTTTTCCTTCCCACAATTAGGTAAAACCTGGAGGTGGCGAAAATCTTCCGGTTAAACAGGAGGAGAAGAGGCTTACAAAACTAGGCCATTTAGGAGCTCTAGATGTTGAGAAGGTTTCCAAAGGCAAAATTTCCCTTGTGGAAGCTCTGACACTTCTTAATAATCATAAACTTCATCCTCAAATATGGACTGCAGAGAAAATAGCAACGGAATACAGTCTGGAACTGAAGGAGGTCAACTCTCTTCTGGAATTCTTCATTCCTTTCACTGTGCAGGAATTTCCTAAAGAAAACAAGAAAGCTATAAAGCCAACCTAAAAATAGTTGCCGAAACCTTGTGTGATCTCACTTGTGTCTTAATTTTATTTACTCTTTCAGTATATTCAGTGTCTGAAAAGAGTTGGTAACATGTCATCCAACAAGGTTGTACCAGTAGCATGTGTTCAGGCTATTCCATTCCATATTGTATGGCTGCAGTGAAATGCAGCAATTTTAGTTTGTAAACCAGAATATAACTAATCAGTGGTATGAGAACATGTCACACAGTTCTGATTATCCCTTTCAAGTGCTACAAGTTCAGATTGCCTTTCTTAGCAGAGACTTCCTGGCCTGCAGCTAAACAGGTGCTCTGCAGGTGTTGGCTCTCTCATTTCCTGTTGCAGTGTTCTTATTTCTTTTGTATAAGAATGGAAAAGTATTTAGACTTCCTAAAGCAGGTTAACCACAAGATCATTTGGGAAACTTAGCTGTTTCAAGCATAAAATAAAAAGGTGTATAGCAAGAAGGCATCTTTGTGGTGCTGGCACAGTAAGGGCTGATATATAGCTCCTCTTCTACTCTGTTCTGATTTGCTTTAAATACCTTTACGTCCCCAGGCACTGTCAGTAATCAATTTATAAAGAGTGATGATCTAGCAGCAGTCTCTTGCAGCAGTTTATGACACCTGCTGTGTGAGAAATAATGTTTCATATTCATAGGTAGCTGTGAAATGCAGCTGGATCTACTAATTGGACCCACTAGTAGTTCTTGTGAATGTTCCACCTGAATATGAGGAAGAACTTCTTCCCTGTGCAGTCACTGAGCACTGAACAGATTGCCCAGAGAGGTTGTGGATTCTCCATCACTGGAGGTGTTCAAGAACCATCTGGACACAATCCTGAGCCATGTGCTCTAGGGTGGTCCTGCTGGAGTAGGGAGGTTGGAGCAGATGACCCACTGTGGCCCCTTCAAACCTAACTGATTCTGGGATTCTGTGGTTGCCTGCTCAAACTTAGAATAATCCTTTCTGCCCATGGAGGCCTTTCCCATGGAGGAAAATGGGAGGCATTTCTGCCCATGGAGGCAGTTCACATTGGACTGATGCCAATGTGTTGTGATCAGATCATACTTACTCCCAGCAAGTTACACACATGCTACCAGATTGAAGATGAACAGCATCCTTTCAATTGTTAGTAGCTGGTTGCCTTCATTCAAAAAGCAAACCCAACACCTTAATTTTAAGCAGCACTAACATTCCTAGAGCCTGTCACCAACAAAGTTGAATTTAGTAAAAGAACACAAGTCAGTACCAGGCCTACAATGTAATTTTCTTTTCAAGTTCAAGAAGAACCACCTTGGAAGACTTATATTTTAAGTGCAACTCTGTCATCCTTTATATTAGAGGAGGTATGACAAGCCTATCCCAAATCCACACATCCAAAGACTAACATTTTGGAATTTTTGTATAATGCACTTAGGGTCATCTTCCAGTAAGGTATAGTGTTATGTACTTCAAAAATGAATCAAGCAAAACCTTGAATACAGTGTCAAACTGTACCTGTAAATACCTTGTTCCAACTCAGAAGTGGAAGGAATTGTGCTGTGAAATAACAAAGCTGATCACCTTCTTGGCAAGATATTTACCAGACTCCAAAATCAAAGGAAGGGCTCACTGCTGCACAGGGAGGGCAACTTTGCTCATCCCTCCCTGTTCCTACCCCTGTTCCCAGTGCTACAGACCACCACAGTCCCCCTCCAATTTCTTTGCTAGCTTAGGAAATAGTCAGACCACTTTAAGAACCACTTTAATTCACTAATATGGCAGAGAACAAATCAAAACATTTATTTAAAACTGAGAAGGAGAATCAGTCTTTACCAGCATCAGTGACTACCCTCTGACTGGAGCCAGCACATACTCAGCTTGCTTGGATTATCAGCCGTGTGTACTGGGGGAAAGAAGCTATTAAAATTGGGTATGGTTTTTGCACACAATTTGGGGATAAAAAGCTGAATGTGCAAAGGTACCAAAATGCTTCTGTGAATTTTTTTCAAATGTATTAGCCCCGAGTTATTTGATTTGGGATGGGAAAAGCATATTGCAGTAAAAACAATATTTGGTGTGGTGGTAGCAGATGACATTTATTTCTAAGAGCAGTTCAAACAGAATGTAAAATATTTTGTTCAGATACTAAAGATACCCTTTGCTTTACCAAATAATGAGGATTTTTTTTTCTTTTGGTCAATCTCAAAAAGAAAGGCTAAGGATTTTGTTAGAAGTTTATCCCATTCTGCTTATTACTATTCCCACCCTTACCTAAATCCAGTCCTCCCACTCCCTCTGCCACTTTATTGATGAGTATCACCTGTCAGGTTTCTAGTCCTGCTTCATAGATGGGCAATTAGTTGTGTGCAATAAGTGTGGCTGATTTACTGTCTACCTAAAGCTACAGTGGAACTAGAATAAATAGAAAGCAAGTGAATTGAATAGCAATGAATCAATGGAAAACAGGCTACTGAAGATGTCTTCAGGAAGAAATAATGCCACACTGTTGGCTTTGCTTCTCCATGGAGGAGGAAAGTGGGAATAAATTTCATGCTGTGTTCTGCCTTTCTCAATTAGCTGTCACCAGTTAAGGATTCCTTTTTGTGGGAATGTATTCACAGCTGTGGTCACTTAGCAAAGATAAATTATATCAATTCACTTCTGCAGATGCAATACTTCAATATTAAACCCTTTTTATATTGCAAAGTTTTCATTAATATAGCAATTTGAGAAATGGGGCCATTTTTCTTAAGACTCTCTTAATAGGTTGACATTTAATCATTGTTTCTTAACCCTTTTGAAAGAAATGTGTACATGTAGATGTTGAATACCCCTAACATTCTGTGATTCTATGTACATGTTGTGTACATGTTGAATTATTTGAATTTTACCATGGACACATAGCTATGATTAAAAGCTGAGAAGATCATAGATTCACAGAATCATAGAATTTTAGGGGTTGGAATGGACCTTACAGATCATTGAGTTGCAACCCCCTGTGCCATAGGCAGGGACA